CGAGGCGGAAATAAGTATCATGATACCCGCACCGAACCTGCGGATTGCGATTCCTACTCCCACTTCATCATCCATTTCCGGTTATGCTCGATTCTCACCCTCCCACCTTTCTTTTCCTTCAAGGGAAATAATTAATTAAAAAGAAAGGGGGAAAGAACAACATACAAAATCCCCAGCTGCCTGCCTCTACAGGCCAAGGGGGATGGGTTTCTTGGTTAATTAAACAACTAATTAATTAGCATGGAGCGGGGGCACAGGCATGAATAAACAAATGGTATTAACATTCTTTTCTGATGAATGATGAATTGATGATATGATCAGAGAAATCCTTACTCGTATTTAATAATAATCGTTACTACTTTACACCCGGAATTCAGTGATGCATGAAACAGCAAGGAGAGAAGATGTAGAAGTAGAGGGAATTAATACCCACCTCACCTAGACCTTGACCCTTTCTCTATCTTTGTCTTATTCCATCCATTAATTAATTACAGGAGTAGGGGTTGCTCCTTTATTGAAATTTGTTGGTTCTGGTTTGAACTTTTATTACTTTTCAACTTTTCAATTTCAGAAACATACATGGTAAATAATCAAATTAAATAAGGCCAAATTCTTTTAATCTTGGAATACAACATTATAACCAAAACATCTAAACTGGTACAACAATCTAATTAATCAAATTAAAGTTTAATCGGCCAGGTTAATTAGTTAACCGCGTTAACCAATATAACATCACGTTAACATTAAGTGAGAAATTTTTTCAATCTATGCATTAATTCACAATTTATATAAGGGTTATAGCAGGGGCAAAGCTAGCTTGGCGGCTGGGGGGCCATGGTCCCCCGAGAATTATAGATTAAGTCAAGTAGCGATTAGTATTGCAAAGTTGTATTGTAGACTAGTGGTAAGAATCCTTAATTAGGGAGGATTTGAACGTAGGTTTCTGCTCGAATCCCTGTGGACGCAGTTTCTATATTTTTAATTCATTTTTATTATTTCTACTTCCCTATTACTGCTTTTAACTATTGTTTCACCCTTTATTATCATTTTCAACAATTTTGATGGATTCTGCCTTTAACTATTGTTTCATCCTAAATTATCATTTTCAACAATTTTGGCGGATTTCCTTTACTGTTGACTGATTTTGAATTTTACCTCCTTTAGTATTTAGTTATTTATTGCTTGTATTATTGGATAATATCTTGTTTTGATTCATTCAATAATTATTTATTTTTATAAATGTGCATTTTGAATGAAAATAATAAAATTTAGCTACAAAACGTGAAGTCTCTTGATTCAATAGACAAAAAATATTCGAAACATTTACCTTGAATATGATTTTACGAATGACGAATCTATCTATCAAAGCAAAAGAATGTGCAATTATTCAAATTTTGGCCACCCACATGGAAATATTGGCTTAGGTGCAGTTTTTCAATTTTTGGCTCCCCCGGAATAGGAATCCTGGCTTCGCCCCTGGGTTATAGGTATAATATGCCCCTCTACTATTAAGTTTATCAATCATGCCTCTCTACTATTTTTTACAACAAACATGACCCTCTATTTTGGAAAAATTATCAAACATGCCCTTCTGTTAAAATTGTTCATTGAAAAAATCATCAATCATGGTTGAATCGAGATTTAGACAATCCGACATCGGCAAATGGGAGGCAAAATGTCAGTTTTGTCCCTGTCTTATTTCTCTGGGCTCTTCAAAGTGAAATTATTAGAATTATTTGGCTATACAAAAGAACCAAAAAATTTCTAAAGTGAAATTGTTAGGGATATTTTAGACATTTGTGTCGCCCCAAACCAAAGTTCGGTCATGGTTAACGGTTTTTGGATGGAAATTTTAACAAAAAGGCAGGTTTGATAATTTTTTCAAAGAACACGGGCATGTTTGATGTAAAAAATAATAGAGGGGCATGTTTGATAAAACATCATAGTAGAGGGGCATATTATACCTATAACCCTTTATATAATGAATAAAACTTAACAATCAACATATAGTTAAAATTAACCCTTAAGTTAAATACATGTAACTAATACAATTATCTTACGTCAATAGAAGTATTCACCTAACAATCATATATTGCCAATGGTATGAAGTTAATGAATTATTGTGTTTGTGTGAATTGACTTAGTCTTGTAACATTATCATAGGTTGTCAAAGACATTCCTTTCAAGTTTTCATCCAACATAATGTATGAGTTTCATCTAAATTATACGTTCATATGTTGTAGTCTACACACTACAAATACAAATATACATTATATGAACAATATTAAGCTTTATTTTTTACGAGCCTAAAAGGGAGGAACGTTTGTCTCTTGAGTGGTTATGTAACGTATTAAGTATGTGTCTAAAATATATATTAGATATATGACTAATTATTTAAATAATTAATTTGATTTCATTGATTAGGAGTGTCTGAAACCAAACCACCCCATCTACACCAAACAAGTTAAAAAATTTAACCAAACCAATTATCCAAATTAACCTAACCAACTTATCCAAATACTACCGGTTGAACACCCCAACTTGTCTTTGTCATATTTTAAATAAATATATAAAGATAAATATAGAGCTATCCAATTCTTCTCAAAATTGTGTTAGTATGCAACGATATAACATTTGAATAAGAAATGTATGAATTTCGATGAATTACCGATTTTCTAGTTATAACTCTGCAAATTTATCTAGTGAACATTATCACAATTCTTTCTAAGAATTGAATTTGGTCTATGGAACAAAGAGAATTTCTTGATCAGTAATTCGATGAAATACGTTCCGTCTATGTTAAATTGCAATGACAACTTCATGAGCAGAAATGAATGCAGTAGTAGTTGTAATTCTAAACTATGTAAGCAACTTAAACAGACGCCGGTGATCCCGAATGCAAGCATTATGATAAAAGGCGTGTTTTACACACGCAAAAAACGGTGGCATATCATAGGCTCTCCCTACAATTTTTTTTAATCTTTCGGGACACAGAAGATATATAGAAACTGAACTCTGGCCAACACAAAGTTACAAATCATGTCACATTCATATAAAAAAAAGGTACCAATATATCGATACAGTACGAGTTGCGCTACAATTCACCAACACAGAGTTACACGCGTCCGTATCAGTTCACCGCCATTAAGTCTGACATTATTAATCGCACTGTACCGCATTAATATCAAAACTGAACAAGTATTCATTAGCCGGAGAACAAGAACTATTATATAACGACATAACGTTCGCACAATTTGAACGGCTTTCCAGGAATTTCAAATTTTTACTTTTTGTATAGATTTTAATAAATAGAAGAGAAATGTGAGAAGAAAAAAAACAATAATAGGAAAAGTAGGAAGGGAGGGGGGTGTGACGTGTGAGGTCCACCGGGAAAGAGAGAGGGTGTGAGTGATGGTGGCAACTTTTGTCCGCACGTAGGGCAGTAGAATTAGAATTAGCAAAAAAAGATAATTACGATTTTTAGAGAGAGAAAGAGGGAGCACCATTCACTGTCGTGATGCGGCAGTAGGGGATTGGGTCCACCGACTTGCCACCTGTGGGGCCCATCACCCTCCGCCTTTCCATATCGACCTTTCTTCCTCCTTTTCTTTTCTTTTTCTTTTCCTTCATCTTCTTCCTAAGCCATACCGTGATCTCTTCTGGGTAACCCAAAAAAGAATACAAAAACCCAAAAAGAAATAAAAGAGATGAGAGGAAACCGCAAGAGAACAGATGGATTTGGAAGAAGGAATAAAACTGAGTGAGGATGAAATATATACATATGAGAGATAGAGGAGGTGGTTTTATCTGTGCATGACACCAAACCATACCTTTAAAACTAAAGTCTGCCTTGCTAGCTAGTCCCAATCCCCAAAAACACACGCACAAAAAACGTAAAACCCTAAAATCATTTGCATCTCAGTTTAGCCACTCAAGAGAGAGTGGGAGTGGGAGTGGGAGCTAAAGAGTAAAGAGTGATCATTGTAAGAGTAGTAGACAAATAGGCTTCTATCAATGTATGTTTCCCAAGAAACCAAAAAAAAAAAAAAAAAGGATAATTGAGTAGGGTTCTTTAGGGTGGATAAGTAGGGTTCACCATTGGGATGATAGAGTAGTTCTAGTCGATCATTGAATTGAAAATTGTTAGGCACATTTTTTTCTTCTAGCTATTCTTATATTGTTAATAATCTTGGTTACGGTTTATAGAAACTAAATGAAAATTTGTAACACCTTAGGCAAATCCCACATCGACAAAGCACAGAAGAGATCCATGGTTCATAAGTAAGAAACCGACCTTAACTGACAAGATGCGTTTTAGGGTGAAATGGAGGAGTTCTTGTGAGAACCCCGAAGTTAAACGTGCTCAGTGTGGAGTACAACTAGGATGGGTGACCTTACGGGACATCACCCCGAATTGCACCCCAAGTCGAAAATCGTGCGGGTGTAAAGGCCGAAAGCGGGCAGTATCTTGTCGGGTAAAGGTTCGGGATGTTATATTTTTTATTTGATGTTTTTTTCTTTTGCATTTTTGTTCTTAATTGATTCCTAGAAGCCTATCAATTTTCTTTTCGCAAACTAATAGGGTGCTTCAAGACACTGCACATTTTTATAAATGTTCCGATTGACGATAATTTATCTTGAAAATGAAAACTTTTGAAATGAAATCAATGCTTAAGCTACTTCTATTATCATATTGTTAACGTAATATCGAAAATTTTCCCCGTAACTTTTGCAAAGCTACAAAGTTCATTAATAAATTCAAATTCAAATCCATAATAAAACAAAGTGACAAAAAAAAATTATCAGAAAGAAGAAGGTAAAAAAAAAGTTTGTTAGGATAAATAAAGGCAAACACTTGCATATAAAACCTTTTACCATTACTTGTTCATAGATAGAGAGAGAGAGAGTAGCTGGGCAGTACTTCTCATCAATTTCACCATCTTCATTCTCCCTCCCTCTCTCTCTCTCCATATATATACAAGGAAACAGCCTATGGCTCAGAGCTTTTCCCCTCCTTTGCTGTTTTGCTCTCTCTCTCTCTCTCTTGCAGTACTGCCTCCAGCAGCAGCTCTCCCACACCCTACCCCTCCTCCTCCATCCTCCTTCCCTATTTCAATCTTATCTCTTTCTTCTCCTTTCTACTTTCTCCATTTCTAGGGTTGTTAATTAACTCAGAAGCACTCCCACCCCCTTATACAAGAAAAAAACCAATTCACAGTCTGTGCACCCTCCTCTTTCCCCTTTTCTTCTCCTTCTTCTGAATCATCCAGTGAGCCAAAAATTTGCATGTGAGGTTAACTACAGCACAACAACAACTCCTCCTCTCAACAATTCTTCCTTCTGTTTTTTCCTCTTGAGGGAATAATTAACCCAAAAGAAGGAGAAGCACAAGAAGAAAAAGAAGAAGTGAGAGATGGCGACCTCTTCCTCATCTTCGGTTCCATTCTTCGGGATGAGTAGGGAGGAAGTGGATGAGCAGATGAAGCAACAAGCCGCCGCCGCGATTGGAGTTGGACTGGGAGTGGGAGGAGGAGGAGGAGGATTGCATAATCATAATCATCATCATCATCATCCACATCACCACCTCCACCACCAACTCCTCCAGCATTCGTCTTCCCTTTTGAGCAATTCTCAGCTCACCACCGCCGGAGCACAGCAGCAGGCGCCTCCGCTGTCTGCCGCAAGCTCAGCCGCCGGTTCTGGTCCTCCTCAGCCCAAGAAGAAGCGGAACCAACCTGGAACTCCAAGCAAGTACCTCCTCCTATTGGCTACCTACCTACCATGTTTTTGCTTATATGTTCATCCAATTCTTTCTTAAAATTAAGCCCTTTTTCTTCTACCCTCAAAGAGAGATAAAAAAAGGAATAGAAACCCATCAAGATCTACCCTCAATTACCCTACAACCACTATTCACAATACGGCACCCCTAAGAAAATCCTAATCAAAGACACAATTCTATTATGTACATGTACATATACTTGAGAGGAATCTTCCATTTTCAATTTGCTCCTTCTTCTTCTCGTGAAATTCAGAGACTAAAAGGTAGTACTAATCACGAGTTAATGGAACGAACTGATTTAATATGGCCGAGACAATCTACAGAACTAATGTTCCTCCAAAAAATCAGCAAAGAAACAAAAGATATAACTCATCTATTCATACGAGTCATCGAGATAAACTGGGTTGACCGACCTCTCTTGTTTAAGTGATGAATTGGCACCAAAAAATCCAAACTTTAGCTATGTTCCATAGTAGAAGTAGTAGGCATGGTGATTATCTGTGGCGTCTGTTTCTGTGTCAACACAATTTCGGGTCAATTTAATTTTTTTGTTGCTTTGTTTGTTTCTTAGCATTTGGTTGTTTCTAACAGTGGGTTTTCTTTGTTTTTGTTCCTCCTTTTTTTCCTCCTCCTCTTCCCCCTTCTTCCTCCTCTTTGTTCGGTTGTGTGTTTTGGTTTCTGGCGAATTTGATGATGTTGCGTCCATGGGGGCTGACATCTGTATATATTATATATCTAAAGATCCAGACGCGGAGGTGATCGCGCTGTCGCCCAAGACCCTAATGGCGACCAACCGGTTCATCTGCGAGGTCTGCAACAAAGGGTTCCAGCGCGAGCAGAACCTGCAGCTCCACAGGCGAGGCCACAACCTGCCCTGGAAGCTGAAACAGAAGAGCAAGACCGAGATACCGAAGCGGAAGGTGTACCTCTGCCCCGAGCCCACGTGCGTCCACCACGAGGCCTCGAGGGCGCTGGGGGACCTCACGGGGATCAAGAAGCACTACTCCAGGAAGCACGGCGAGAAGAAGTGGAAGTGCGACAAGTGCGCCAAGAGGTACGCCGTCCAGTCCGACTGGAAGGCGCACTCGAAGACCTGCGGCACCAGGGAGTACCGATGCGACTGTGGCACCCTCTTCTCCAGGTACACCATTCTTAAAACTTGTCTCAGATCGATCTTTAATACGAAATCCATTATTAAACCTCCTCCCAACGAGTCGCGATTTTGGATTAAGTAATCGGGGGGACAGGAGTAGTAGTAGTGGTGTAGGTGGGTGTACTGTTGCACCGTGGGTGTGTTTGTTGTGTTCTTTTGTTTTTTGTGTGCTTACTTGTTTTTTTTTTTTTTTATGTGAGAGAGTCATAAGATTCCCTGGAGGAGAGAATTTTTTCTGTGTTATTATTATTATTTTCTTTTTCTTCTGTGGGTATGAGTTACGTTATGATGTGGTTAAGTGGACAGGTGGGAGTAAAGAGAGTAGAGAGTCAAAGCAAGTGTGAGTGTGTTATTCGAAACGGTTTAAGTTAAGAGAGGCACGTGAAGCAGCCAGCCACCATGGCGAAACTGCCATGCTCGTCACCTTTTTTTTGTTCTCGTCTATAGAAAGAGAGCGTCTCCGCAGGGTGTCTCACTTTCAAAGTTTTCAACCCTAAGACCCATAAACCCAATAGAGGAAGAAAAAAAGAAAAAAAAAGTCTCGGCCGGCCGCCTCAAACGACGAAAAAGTTGTTTGGAAAGTCGTAGGTGGAGTAACAACCATAATAATGCACACGTAATATAACATGTCAAACGATGGGGGGAAAAAAAAGTTTGGATTCTGGGTTGTCTTGAAATTGAGTGTGGTACGTAACCCTCGAAAACAACGCCATGAGTGTCTCTCTCGAGCTAGCTAGCTGTGTCTCTTTATCTCTATTCACGTGTTGCTACGACATTGCCTGCCAATTAGTGAAAGCAGGAAGGCAAGGTTTAGTTGTTTGGGGGGTGGGGGCTGGGAGTAAGAGAGAGAGGAGAATTGTTGTTTTGCCATGTTTGTAAGGAAGCGGGTTGGCTGCATGTGTTCAGGCCTGAGATGGTGCAGCTGCTCGTTTTCGTGATAAGCTCCTCCTGCTCCCTCTCCCCCACCACCTTCATTTCCCCTCTTCTTCTTCTGCTCTAGCTCTCTCTCTCTCTCTCTCTCTCTCTACGATGATGATTGTTGCACAATAGTAAATTGCCAGTTTGGGCAAACAGGCGAAAGTCACTCGTCAAAAAGCTTTGCTATCTATTCTTTAGGCATCATCATCACCATCATCATTTAAATGTTGGCCTCAATGAATTGGGCAGAGAGGTGCATGTTCCTTTTTTTTTTTTTTTCTTCAACCCTCGTTTCTTTTTTCAACAAGCTCCATGAAGTCGACTCTTGTAGCTGAGCCTGCAGGCGCATCTGGGTTCTAATGAATTTGGAAGCATGAATTTATGGGTTTGATTGAATTCCTTTCATCAGGTTGGAATACATTCTCTTGTTGCATTTATTGAACCCTCACTTCCTCTTTTGGCATCTCATATTTCCATTTCCCCACACCTTCCACCAGCACTTCATTCATTGCTATCTAATCTAATCTTCATTAATTTCCCACTCTCTTCCCGTTTCTATTGTTTTTTTTTTCTTCTTCTTCCTCTTCATATGGGTAATTACTAATTAAGCATATTATCATGCTAGTACTACTGATCTCTAGTTACCAACTTTCATGTTCCCCCTTTTAATAATCTCTCGCTAGAACCGGCCTGAATGATGATTTTGTTAGCTCATGTTTGTCGTTTTGGAGTTTGTACAGAATTCTCCCTCAATTTGATTCCAATAATTCTTCTCCCTAAAAATTGCGATTTTTTTTTTTGTCTCCGTTTTATTTTATTACTCTCTTAATCATTTTCACCGCATATTCTCTGCAGTCCAGTTAAGTTAATTAATTAATCCCGAGAAATAATAATAATAATAATAAATTTTGGCATGCCCGTGACTGTCCAAACCAATCGCTATTTTGAAAATTTTATTATTATCCAAATTCGTGCTAGACTGAGGAGCAGCTGCATGCTGTGTTTTAACCTATTGTTTGGATTCCATTCCATGGATCGTATTCTATTCTCTTCAATCTTTGCTACAGACATATGTATATGAACACTGAAGAAAGAAGGACACCTCACTCACATGTGAACCCTTTTTTTTTCCTTCTACTTTTTTTTACCGTTTAAGTCAATCCCCTATTTTCTGGCCATCCCTTGACTTCAACAGTTCAACGCCATATTTTAACTACATACCTAATAATTCTTACTATTTTTTTTTATATTTATTAAATTAGTATGGTAATAATTTGTGGAATTCATGCAGGCGGGACAGTTTCATCACCCACAGGGCTTTCTGCGACGCCCTGGCTCAGGAGAGCGCCAGAAACCCTCCGCCCTCCCTCTCCTCCCTCGGCTCCCACCTCTTCGCCGGCGCCGGAGGACCAGCCAACAACATGACCCTAGGCATCTCCTCCACCGCTCATTCCTCCGCCGCAGCCGACATCCTCCGCCTCGGTGGATCCACCACCGGCGGAGCCGGACAGTTCGACCACCTCCTCCCTCCTTCGACCACCACGACAACAACCTCGCAGCAGCAGTTCCCAAACCAGCCCCACTTGTCGCCTTCCTCCGCCGCTTTCTTCATGCAACAAGATCAGAACAACAGCTACCAGCCATTCCACCATACCCTAATGCAGCAGCAGTTTTCCTCGGATCCTAACAACGCGGCTGGTGGCGGCGCAGCCGCCGCCAACCAGCTCTTCAACCTAGGGTTCTTCCCCAACTCCTCCACCACCAACAACAACGCTACTCTCTTCACCAATAATAATAACAACAACCACAGCGGCGGCGGCGACGATCAACATCATCACCAGATGATGATGGGATCATCCACCGGCGGCAGCGTCCCTCTCTTCAGCTCCTCCTCCTCCTCCGTCCACCAGCAGCAAATGAACAACATGGTGGCCCACATGTCGGCCACGGCGCTGCTCCAGAAGGCGGCGCAGATGGGCTCCACCACCAACTCCAACCCCAACGCCACCACCAGCGCCTCCCTCCTCAGAAGCGCATTCGCCGCCGGCCCCAACCACAACCACAACCACAACAACCAAAAATCGTCATCGTCGCAATCGTCAGGCGAAAAGCAGCAACACCCCCCACCGCCGAGCCTCGGAAGCTTCGGTGGCTCGTTCTTCGGCGACGTGGACACGAACAACGGCAGCAACAACCTCCACGACCTCATGATGAACTCCTTCGCCGCCGCCGCCGGCAACAACAACAACATCAACAACAACTCGTCGTCTATGTTCGACATGGAGGAAGGGAACCACAACCAGAGCAGCGGCAACAACAACAACAATAACGGTGGTGGTAACAACAAGAAGTTGACGAGGGATTTCCTTGGAGTTGGACACGTGGCGGCGGCGGTCAGAGGCATCGCCGGCACCGCTACCAGCAATATCTCTCAGAATCAGCAGCAGCAGGTAGGGGCGGCGTTGGAGAGAAGCTCGTCGTTGGATTCGGAGAGGAACAATAACAACAGCATGGGGAGTCACTCTTCTTTCGGGGGAAACCCTAGCTTCCAATGAAATCATGAAAAGTCAACCATGCACTGGAAAGCAGGATATATGATGATGACGACCATGTTGGCGCAAAAGGAATCGAGGTACGTCAAAATTCGAAAAGTAGTTGTCTTTTTTTTTTTTAACTGTTTCGTATATATGGTTAGAGTGCTGTTATTCTTTTCGTTTTTTTTACTGAGTGGCTGACAAAGATAGAGTTTTGCATGGTGAGATGGGTCCACGAGTGGGGAAAACACGAGATGGAGTGGAGAGGGGAGATTTTGTGTTCTTTCGCTTGTCTTTTCCCATATAATTTTCTTCGTATTTTTTTTATGATTAGGAAGAAAAGAAAATAGAGAGAAGGGAAATACAATGAAGGGAATGATGGTAGTAATAATGTATGCGAGGATCGAATATTATGAGGCTGGCAAAGGGGAGAGAGTCACGAGAGTTGGTCCTTCCTTAGGATTCCCTTTGGTCCTTCAACTTCTTCTTGTTCGAGCATGATAGAATGTCGTATGTGTCTCCCCTTCCCCACTCCCACTTGGGATTTTTTGCCATGTTCAGGGTATTTTCTTTACTTCAAATGATTTATTCACGACTCACATGTGTGTCTAGCCAACTTAAGTGCTCATTTGTAGAATTGAAATATAAATATGTAGATTGCTATGATTGTTAACATTCAATACAAACATGTATTCTAATTTATTTTATTATCAAATGACATGTTTATACTTAACTAAAAGAATCAAAATGACTAGCAGAAAGTATTGAAAATTTATTGGTTAAATAAATAAAAGGAGATAAAGTAGGAGAGAGAAAACTCTCACGGATGAATATATAGAATTCTCCAGATTTTAGAAATTCGAAATCTCTAAGACCGGAAAATTCATGATACAAAATGCAAGGTATAGAATCTCTCGCTATGAGAGATTTGATATCTCTAAATTTTAGAGATTCGAAATCTGTAAGACTAAAATTCATTTTACAAAAAAGCATACGAAAAAAAGGGTAAATGCCTCATTTGGTCACGGGGATTACTAAATCGTGTTATGTTTAGTCACTAGAAAACATTAATATCAATTTTGGTCACTCGAATTATTAAAACAGGTCACATTCAGTCAATCTCCCGTTAGTCTCCGTCCAACTCCGGTCACTCGAATTACTTCTTTTTTTTATGAATGTCACTCGAATTACTGAAACATGTCAAATTTAGTCACTAAGCATGACATGTTTTAGTAATTCGAGTGTACAATATTGAAATTAATTTTTTTTTCTAGTGACTAAACATGACATGATTTAATAATCCCAGTGACCAAATGTGGCATTTACCCTTTACATAACTTTCTACTGAATCTATGATCCAAATCCTTCTCTCCCAACAAATCCTAAATTATTGTAATAACCCAAAAACAACTAGTTGGGTAGCTATCTCATCACTTTCATATACATTAGTACTAGTAGCGTCGTCTATGTGTAATTTCGAGTGCAAATTTGAAGAGCGTTTTTGTTAGTTATAGTTGCACATACCTAAGGGGAGCTAGACCTAAATAATGGGAATATGGTAAGAAGAACATATATGTATAACTGTAAATTGTAATGCATGGGTGGTAGCAGCAGCAGTCACATGCATGGGCTGACTGACAGCACAATGGGGAGAGTACGTAACAAAATCTATCTATGACCTATATATGTAGCCACCACAGTCCATGCATTTGATTGAGACATTTTCTACCCCTACCCACCTGCTCCCTCTCCTGCTTTCACATTAATTGCAATATATATTTTTGCTATCATCCCATTCATTGCTAGATATAGATCATAACTTCGTCACTAATCATTTTACAGTAACGGCTAACGGGTGTGTATGTTGCAGGAAATGGGATCAGCAAACCAAATTTCATGATAGAATGGAGAAGAAGAGAGAAAAGAAAAAGAAATGGGAGGATCGATCTTAGTATGAAAAAAGAGAGAGGTAGCTAGCTAGCTTGAGAATCAAGTACTGGTGCATGGAGGGGAAATTTTAATTAAGATGGATAGAGATTAATTAACTTTTATGCATATGGATATGTTGTTGTTTTTTTTTAATGTAATTAAGTAAACAAAATTATTGCATATGTTGGTGAGATGGTGATATATGTGAATTTGCAGTCGGCAGGTGGAGACAACATGCAGTAGTGGGTTAGTAGTTTGTTTCACCACAACTTCATGATGAGGATGATGAAGAATTTTTCTCCTAGTTTGATTTAGTTCTAAAGTCGTACGTACGTCTTAATTTGTGTACAATACAATGCTCAATTCCTCCAAGCTGTAAACCAGCCATAGATCCAGCATATATCTTTGGTTCATGGAGAGACTTCGAAGGAGAGAGTGTCCCTTGGCTGATTTCAAGAACATGAGTTTGTTGGTAAAGTTGGCAAAATCGTTCGTGGAAGTACGCTAAGGAATCCAACGTTCGTTCATTTATTTATTATCATTGTGGTTTCGTGTAATAAAAAGTAAAGACTTTGCTATGATGATTTGATCTAAAGTACTCCAAGTAAAAGTCATTTGTTGCTGTTGAGTATATCGCTTTCGTTGATGATCATGAGAATGGGAGAAACTCAGTTTAAATGCAAATGAATGCTCAACTAGCTGGCCAAGACCTTGTCAATATTGGAGTAAAATTACATTATTAAAAAATTATTTATAATTTTATATACTTGGAGTTTGGCCAATTCACCATGTGCATACCCATTATCCACAAGAAAAGAACAAAAACCAAGATAGTCCATTTATAGTTTGGTAACTTATATACATAAAACTTTTATTAGGTCAAATTCTTTCATTTGATAACTTCAAAAGATCTTGTCTATGGAAACTATCGATTTCTACTAGAAATATTTTAGTTTGTTGGATTTTGAGTTGCAATCGTAGTTGAGCAAGTGGTTTCTAATTATTAAATAGTTGGTTCTTGGTGAATTAAGTTTTTTTATGGGCTTAATTGGTGAATAAATTGTTATATAGTATTTGACATATGGGTTCTGAATTTTCCCCCATTATGTATGTATTCCTTTTTATGGTTATTTTTCATGTAATTTCAATTATCATTAATTTCATGTAGTCAAAGTGAAAATAATCCAAGCATGACAATAATTGTCATCACTCGCTATGATTATGATATATGAAAATAGAAATAAAATTGGATAAAGTTAACTCTGGTCATTGACATATTAGTTTACCTTTTACAATTTTTTCTAGAGAAGAAATCCATGTTACGAGTTTTGAGTAGAAGTGGCAAATGGATTGAATTTATATATTGGTAAATTGAATTGATAGGACTATGGATCAAATGAACTTGTGGATTGATGGATTGGATTATATGGATTGGATCATGGATCCAAGTGACATCTAAACATTGCACCAATATGTCAATTTTAAAAGTTAAAGTACTAAAATGTCAAAATAAAAATTTTAGGTACTAAAATATACTTTCTATAAAAAAAACTTACGTTTTTGTTGGGACATTGCTATTCGCCGCTCTAATTAAATCAAATTTACTTTGATGACCTTTGTTCATTTATTTGTCTTTCAAACACTTAAAATTCGGGTGAAGATAAGACCTTGCAAAAAGATACTTGGTTAGTGGTTCTGCAAACCCTGAACTTTGGTTTTACGATGAGGCAGAAGGCAAAAAAAAGATGTGGGAATGAAAATGGGATGCTGCCAAATGCCAATAAATGGGAACTTGTGAAATTTCTCGGTGAGATCCAGATAGGGGTGTTCAAATGGTTACCATGGTTATAACCAAACCAAATAAGACTAAATTTCATTAACCATGGAATACAATATCATAACTAAACCGTCCAAACTAATACAACAATCAAATTAACCAAACTAAAGTTCAATCGGTTTGGTTAATTGGTTAACCAGATTAACCAATATAAAATCACATTATCATTGATGATGAAAATTTTCCGGTTAATGCAATAATTCGCAATTTATATAATGAATAAAACATAACAATCAACACGTAGTTATAGTTGACCCTTAACAAAAATACATGCAACTAAGACAATTATCTTACGATTAGTATAGAAGTATTCACCTAACAAAAATTTATGACAATGGTATGGGTTAATGAATTGTTGTGTTTGTGTAAATTGACTTAGTCTCATAGCAATTATCATAGGCTGGAAATGACATTCCTTTCAAGTTTTCATCCATCATAATGTATGAAATTTATCTAAATTAGGCGTCCATATGTTGTGGTCTACACTTTACAAATACAAATATACACTATATGAGCAATATTGAGCTTTATATTTTATATGAGTCTAAAAGGATGAACGTTAACTCTTGAGTGGTTATGAAAAGTATTAAGTATGTGTATATAATATATGTTAGATATATTATTAATTAATTAACTGGTTAATTTGGTTTGACTGGTTAGGAGTGTCTGAAACCAAACCAAACCACCTAAACCAAACAAGCTAAAAACTTTAACCAAACCAAACCAATTATCCAAATTAACCAAACCAAATTATCCAAATAGTACCGGTTAAAACGGTTACCACGGTAACCAAACCGTTTGAACACCCCTAGATCCAGAGGCAAACGAAATATAGGATAGGAATTTGAATTTTAGGGCGACAAATTGTGATTCAGTTTTGTTGAACATACTGCTACATGCATGAGTCACATATGTATATAGGGTGTTAATTATCGTAATTATGTTGAGTTAGCCCAATGGGTGATAGACTGATAGGCCCATGTAGGTGGACGTATGTGTTGGTGTTACCCTAGGGTTTGGCCGTGCCCTAGACTGTATATAAGGGTATGGTTCTCGGTCATGTAACCTAAGTCTACATTGAAGGTTAATACGATTATCAGCTTGGAGAACATCAAAGCTCTCCCGTGGATTAGTCCTGAGATAATCAGGGGTATCACGTAAATCTGTTGTCTTCGTTATTTATGATTAATTTCATTATGTCTAACAGTTTTAGGTACCAAATAGTAAAATATAAAATATGTACTAAATCGTAACTTTCCAACGATCCATGAATCCACCAATCCAATTGAATTTGGATAAAATAGATTGAATTTAAATGAATTGGATTGGATACAAAATTGCCACATTGTTTTCCGGCGAGAAAACTTGCGCTGAAATGAGATTGATTGCACCTTGACTTCTTTGGACAACGATTACTAAGACACGACTCAAACCTCTTCAAACACAGTTCGAACGAGGGTGTTTGATTGATGGTTTCTGGGAAAGAAAACTAAGTTAAATTACCCCTACTCCTATGGAGGTTCAGTGAGAGCTCCAAACTAAAAGTTACGCTATGGCTACATGATAGAGAAAAGGTAAAAAGATAAACTTGACATGTGTGTCAGTTGTGTGGTTTTGGGCCTCTTTTGTCTCTGTCGACCCATCCTCCTATTTATAGTCACGAGGAGGTAACCGCCATAGAAAACCGTCTGTTGGATAACTCCCAAAAAGAACCACTTCCTACTTCCTCGGAGTGGTGGTTACCCCTTCAACCGCCTAGGTGCTTCTTTTGGAACCGTCGTGGGTCTTGGAGTGTAGCTTGCCTCGCCTAGTCTTGTTCCAAATCTCGTGACATGCTAGTCTTTTGATAAACATGTGGTGTCTCACAAAGTGGGTCGTGGTCCTCTTGCCTCGTG